TAAATTTGAGAAATTTTGAAGATTTCCGTGTGATGGTCGATCATTTGATGGACACAGTAATTTGAAAAGCGTAGTAAATAAATAGAAGGTGAGCACAGAATTACTTTTTTAAATCATATGACCTATAATTTTATAAACTATCCCTCAATGAGAAAATATCTAAATTTTAGATAATTGTCACCGGCAATATCGCCTATTATTCCTTAAACCGTTTCTCTTACAAATTTGCACTGAAATTTTTTAAATTTTTTTTTTAAAATAAATACTAAATATTAATTTTTAGCTATATACTTTTTAAGTAAGATATATTTTGAGATATATTTTTATAGTTTGTTATTTTGAATTTTTTATTATAAAATTTTTCGTTAAATTTTTAAAATTTTATGTTTCAGCCTACAAAAATTTTTTACTTCTAATATAGGTCATAATTTTTATAAGTAAATCATATAAATTACAGTAATAAAAATTATAATTCTTTATTTAGACTATAATCTTTATTAAAACTATAAATCTATTTATAGAGTTTGTTAATTAAAAAATTTAAAAAAGGTATAATTTTGGCTTATTAGTAAATCAATTTTTTGGTTTATAATTTAAATATAAATTTTCAAAAATATACTTTATATTATTAAAAACATTTTATTTAAACATATTAATTTTTTTTAAAAAATAGATTAGAAGTATTGTTATAGAAGAATTCAAGACAAATTTGCTTTAAATTTCAAAGGGATAATTTATTTTAAAAAATTAATATTAGAGTAAGTACTAAGCTAATGCGTAGCATTGTGTGTCCGGAGCACATGATGATTAACATATAGCAAACGCGAATTCAAACATCATCATCAAAAAAGTAAATCTTGGTGGCTGAATGAATCAAAAACGTAACTTTTGTATTACTTGACGACTTGACGTAAACACTAGAGCATTGGCCATAATTTTTACTAATGAAAACACAGCCACCTATTAAGTGAAAATTGTTTCTGAGCCAATTTTATCATAACGCGGGCTTGCTAGTAGAACTTGCCTATTTTTGGATCTTGAAAGCTAGAACCTTGGTAACGCAAATACTAAAAAATTTCAAGTCAACAAAGCTTCCAAAATTTTTTTTTTCAAAATGTATTGTTTTGCGCAAATAAATAATGCGATGCATGCATAAATAGTATAATATAGTATTTTAAAAAATTGGCCAATCAACTGATTTTTAACCATGCTCACTGATTCTGATCCGAGGTATGACATCAAGGTTGGCAATGGATATACTCCATTGAGAAAATTACCAATGGAGCGAATGGAACCAATGGAATAAATGGAGCGAATGGAGCCAATTATACTAACGGAGAACAGCGGAGAACCCATTGGAGATAATGGCTCCAATAAAAATATCTAATGGAGTCGATGAAGAATAGGGTTCTAATCTCTAGCCTTATATACCAATAGTTCGACCTGATGATAAACAGGTCAAGCGGATCAATGTCAATGGAGTTTGTTGGCTTCCATTGGCTCCATTCAGAAATATTCTCAATGGAGCAATGGAGCAATGTCAATGGAGTTGTTCTCCACTCGTCCCAATGGATAAATGTGCCAACCTTGTATGACATGTATACCGGAAAAATATTAGTACTCAAAAATTTTATACAATTAGAAGTTATTTAAAAAATTGGCTAAAATAAATATTATGCTATAAATAATTAGATACAGTTTCTTCAACAAGTAAGCCTATTGGGCGTTTGTTATTCCAATTGGTAATACGTAATATTTATAGATAAATATATTTAATATTAAAAATTTTAACTTAATACTATATTATTTATCAGATTTAATGGTATTTGAACTAATAAAGCATTATACAATTTTGAACTTAAATAACTTAAAAAACATTCTTAATTCTTACTCATCAGATTAATACTTTTCACACAATTAAAATAAATAATATAAAACAAATCCTCAATTTTATCTTTGAACCTTGTTTAAACTCAAAATTATCAAAAAAATGTCAACTACTTTATAAATTTTCACAATGAAATTTGTATCAAATAATGCCGAACAGGTAAATTCTATAGATTATTTTGGATTTAAATGAACTCTTCAGATCTAGCATTCGTTTAAGTCAAAATCATTGAAAACGGTTAAGCAATTCTTAATATTTAAACATTGTAATGTACATGCTGGATGATCTTTGTTTTTTTTCATGAAAACTGTCGAAAAGAACTGCACGCATGTGATATAATTATTGGATGCATTCCAGCGCCAATAGCGCTGGACATTCAAACTTTATTAAAGAGTTATAGCATACATCAGTGCGTTTGATGTATAGTTGAAGAGATATATAGTATACATCAGTGCGTTTGATGTATAATTAAAGAGGTATATAGCATACATCAGTGCGTTGATGTATAATTGACAGAGATATATAGCATACATCAGTGCGCTTGATGTATAATTGGCATTAGCCGGTGGTCTCTCACCCGCATAAACGCATGCCGGCTGTTAGCCAGAAGGTTTGTGGTCACATGATCATAGACGGTGGTTTCCCACCTGCATAACGCAGGCCGGCTGTAAAAAGATGTTTAAGCTGCCACAAAATGGCAGAATTCTACTGAGGGAGGGTAGGGCAGGGTTCAAAATTGATTTGCCTCTTGAAAGGGCTGCTGTTGTACTACCTACTGCTCTTCTGTTTTATATCTGTATGTTATTGTCATACGTTCCCTGATATATTTGCTATATTAGTATTCGCGCCTAAATTAATAATTTCATTGAATTTACGTTTATCTTCCTCCTTGCATATACCGGATTCTTTTGTTGGGACCAGTGTCACCCATGTGATTGTCGCTTGCTAATGCATCACTGCTTAGCTGTCTTTTCGATCTGTTGACCTACTGTCGACTTGAATGATCTGTTTTCGACACTTTTGTCTTACTGTAAATAAATTCTACGGTTTGTGGCATTTATTCAAACCTAATATCACTGATAATGTGTCAGCCATTCTCAAATTACAAAATTAAAATATTTTCCGAATATTTTTTTCGTTTATTTTTATGAACAGACCAAAAAAGGATAATAGCTTTAAAGAACTTCTAAGATATAATTCTGTAATAAACTTAAATGAAATAAACTTATTATTACTAAAAATTAAAGATAATATTGTTATTCCAAATTATAACAAATAGCTTAATATAAAAAAACTGTCATTGTGCAAACCATAATAACGTAAATAGAAATGCAGTATGTATTTCATACACTTGGAAAAATAGCAATCACGGCTCTTTCTAGCTATAAATAAATTATAAGGAATTTTTAATGATATTTTTCCATATTTTTTATTTTAATTACGCGAGTTCAGTATGCAATCATTCATTTTCAAAGATTTTAATAAAAACGAATCGCCCCACGCCTATCTTCGATCCCACTTCAATAACGATATCTATTCCTCTAGCGCCATATTAGCAGATCTTTGATAATAAATATATGCTTTATATTCATCCTTTTCAACTCCAATGCCATAATTATAACAATAAGCAACTTGACACATGCCATTAGCATTACCCATGTTTGCAGATTTTTGATAATAAATGAATGCCTTATGTTTATTCTTCACAACCCCAAACCCATTTTCATAACAATACCCAAGATTGTTTATTCCTGCAGCATTGCCCATATCAGCGGATTTTTGATAGCAAGTAAATGCCTTATGTTCATCCTTATCAACTCCAATTTCGTTATGATAACAATATCCAATATTATTCATCCCTATAGCATTACCCATATCAGCAGATTTTTTATAGTATGTGAATGCCTTATATTCATCCTTTTCAACCCCAATTCCATAATAGTAACAGTCTCCAAGTTTGCACATTCCACCGGAGTTACCCATATCTGCAGATTTTTGAAAATAAATAAACGCTTTATATTTATTCTTTTCAACTCCAATTCCATTTTTGTAACAATACCCAAGCCAATCCACTCCATCAGCATTACCAATATCAGCAGATTTTTGAAAATAAATAAATGCTTTATGTTCGTCCTTTTCAATTCCAACTCCATAACAATAACAATAACCAACATTATATGTTCCATCAGAATCTCCCATATTAGCAGATTTTTGATAATAAATGAATGCCTTATGTTCATCCTTTTCTACACCAATTCCATTTTGATAACAATAACCAACACTATATGTTCCACTAGCACTACCCATATCAGCAGATTTTTGATAATAAATGAACGCTTTATGTTCATTTTTTTCAACACCAATTCCTCGACGATAACAATAACCAAGACTGTTCATTCCTATAGCATGACCCATTTCTGCTAATTTTTGATAATAAATTAATGCTTTATTGTTATCTTTTTCAACTCCAATTCCGTTTAAATAACAATCACCAAGAGAATCAATTCCATATGGATCTTTCATATCTGCTGATTTTTTATAATAAATAAATGCTTTATTATTATCTTTTTCAATTCCAATTCCATGTTCATAATATGAGCCAAGCTTACACATTCCGATAGAATTTCCCATTTCAGCTGATTTTTGACAATGAATAAATGATTTCTCATTATTATTTTCAATCCACTTTCCAAAGTAATATAAAGACGCAAGAAAGATTTGAATTATAGAATTTGTTTGAACAATAGGATTTGTTTGATTTTTTAAAAATAAATTGATTAATTCTTCTGGTTTTTGCTTCTTGCTTGCAAAATGTTGATCTATTGAGTAAATAATCGAATCTATATAATTTCCTTTCTTAACTTCTTTATTATATAAATCACATAGCTCTTTGATAACTTCATTTAAAAGATCTTGTGAATCATGCGATGATAAATCTGCTTGATACGAAGTATTAACAACTTGATCATTGTCATCTAAAACAATAGTCAATTCTGTAAATGGATTATTGTCTAATCTTTTTTCATTTGCCATGTTATGTATGATAAATAACGAACGTACGTATAAGGTACTGTATGCTCATTCTAATTGATTTATATAATCGCCTGTTTCACAAAATTTTGTACGACGATCGTAGAGCCCGCAGTTGTAATTAACCAACTACGTAGCTGCCGCAACAAAATGGTACGGCAGATTCACGATTTTGATTGGCGAGCGACGATCAAAAAATTAGGCCGGAATTACTCATAATTTTATTAAAGAAATCGCAGCTGCCCATTAAATAAAAATTGTTCCTGGGCCAATTTTACCATAATGCGGGCTTATTTTATAAAAATTTCTATTTTGTAATGAAAAAGTCAAAAATCAGCTGAA